AGTTGGGCTGCAACTAACAATTATTTCTATTTTTGATCATTCCACTGATTATTTTCTCGATTTATTGTTTTGCTACAGTGAAATAGTGAAAAATGTCTTCACAGTTTCCCAGAGCCAAAAGCAACATATTTAAATTTGCTTGTTTTGACCAAGTAACTTTTTCTATCACATAAGACAAAAGAAAGCAACAAATCTTCATATTTGAAAAAGCTGTAACCTGAGTGTTCAGTATTTTTTCTTTGACTTACAGAAATCAAGCCATCAAACGTCTCCAGAATATCATTCATTTAGAGGTTTTCCTTGATTTCTCAGCTAGTCAACATAATGCTATATTAACAGTTCTCCTGTAGATGGAAGACTTTGAAACATTACAGCCCATTTAGCAGCTAAACCAAACCAGATTCAGCACTTAAAATGAACAATAAGTTAAAACTAGAAGGAGTGATACAAAAAAAATGAACAAAAAGGCCCAGTTTTTCCACCTTTATCACAGTCTCTTGGAGCATTGTGTGGGACACAGATAACCAAGTGACATCACATCCTGCCGCTGCCATTGAGTCAGGAAGGGAGAGGTGTTTCTTCCTCGGACATCCTCTCTTTTCCTTTACCCACAGAGGTCAGCCCGCCTGCCCTTTTGCTGTCTGTCAGCAGGAAAAAGAGAGCAATGGAGGGTGAGCCGGCCAACGAGTCAAAAGACAGGATAGGACGTGGCAGTAACGACAATGACACAGGATGAGAGTTGTTTAGTCCAGTGCACTCAGCACTATCTGATCTGCCAGAGAGACAACAAGAGGAAGGAAGGGTTGACAACATCAAGCAGAAGCGAAGACTATCACCTGGACAAACCTGAAACTCTGCTGCTGTGGTGGTAATACATTACAGTAAATATATGCAGAACATGTGACGCAGACTTTTATAGGCAGCAAACATTCTAGCATTAAAACTACTGCGTCAGATATGAACCACATGGACCATTAGAAAAATATCAGCTTGTTTTTTGCAGCCAGAGTCTTCCTAATAATGTGAACATAAACTGATTGGCTAAAAGACATAAACCCTGCTGGGAGGTAAAGTAGTTGTGACTAGTATACTCAATATTTGCACTTCATCACTGAGCCAAGGAAACACTAAGGATGTGGAGTGAAAGAATTATATATATACCAGAGCGTTTGATCTAGTGTTCTATGTAAGCAGTAAGAGAAGAGAGAAATGTTTTATGTTGTACTTACTGACGAAATGGATTCACTTATTTCTTACTGCACTTTTGTAATCAAATTTCCCTCGGTCATTAGGATAATTACTCAGACAGTCTGGGACAACAGAGCCTGAGACAAGACCAACTACTGTAATTTAATTAGACTCTCCTTTGCTCTGCTGAAGTGCACAGCAGAGGGAGAGACCTCACCGTCGGACGGATGGACAGACAGATATAGAACTTTAGCTGGGCTATTAAAGTATACAGACAGTGACGTACTAAATTTCATTATGATGGGATTTATTACTCTGTACTTTCCACTCAAGCAAGAAATTGCCCCAGTCCCTGAATACCAAAAATGAAAGGATGGACTGGCTTGTGACCAGTTTTACCTTTGCTGGAATTTAATTCAAATTCACTGCAAATAGGGATTTTCTCCACCAGGTGGTGTTGCAGGGCTACCATAAACAGCAGGGACAAACAGACAGTTTCAGCCTAAAGCCTGAACATAAAGCAGTGTATTCTTGTATATTCAAACACAACGCCACTTTTGTTTTTTATTCAGTCCCAAGCCTCCAGAGTTATTTCTTACCATAGAAAACATAAGATATTTACTGTGATTAGACTGTATAGGACCAGATAAGCTCTAAGGCCACCACAGTAGTTAATTCCACTGTTTGATTCCTATCTGAAACTGAAGGTCAAGTGCAGTATTAGAGTACAGCCACAGACTAGTATGCCATTAAATGAAAACCTTCTGACTCAATTTTCTCTTTAACAACTGCAATAAATCAGAGGAGCGCCACCGCTGAGCTAAACGTGCATCTAACCCAGGGCCTGCCAGTTGTTCCCAGCCTGGCCAGTTAGTTCAGTATTGATTCTCTGTCTCGCTGTGATACCACTATAACCATCTGACCTATGAAGCGCACAGCACCAGCCTGAAATCCAGTGCACGCTGCCCTCGGACGGGAGAGGGAACACCATGAGAGGAATGGCTCAGCTCACCCTGTTGGCTCTAAACCACAGCAATTTTACTAAAAACTTCTGCACTCAGCTCATGCTCTGTTAGTCTACCTACTTTAGCATCTACACCTTTCACCCTATCTCCCCTCACCAGACACCTCGACTGTAGAGGAAATGTAGAAATTTACAAGGAAATGGAGGAATGTATATCTTTTTTCTGGTTCTGCTTTTTTCTTGTGAAATATTGGATACTACTCAGGCCTCTGAAAAGCCTTTAAACGAAACGATCCAAGAAGGAAAATCAGCCCTTGGTTAAGCTGCTCACTCAACTCATGTCGACACTGAAACCATAATCTGTGCTGAAGGGTCACAAGCGGGCATTACATTATTTTAGGTCACAGGCCCAAAAGGCTGGAGCCACTACTCTCATTTGACAGTGTATCAGATGTTTTGACTGACACAGAAAATATGTTCAATAGCCTCCCACAAATTCAAAAGAGGTCTTGCAATTTCATTAGACTTTACTGTGGATGCACAACTAAATTACAAAGGAAGGATAATAAAAGATTTCCATTCCATTACCATAACGCTGCATATCTCTACTTGCTCGGTCAGGCCCTTCTACTTATGTGATATGATGATTATCCAGCTCAAGTTCAAGGTGTGTGCGGATCGGCTCCCACCTGTGCAGAGGTAATTACAGTTTCACTCCTCTCCGACAGTCATTGGGAACAAGACTATAACTCAGAGAGTGAGACACCACTTAACCACACATAGACCTGCTTGGTGTAAAGCAACATACCTGCACATTCATTCTCACCCATATATTCCCTTTCCACACACACACACATACATAAACACATTCTTACAACCACATATGCTCATTAAGTTGGCCTCATTTTGAGGGATTTATTGCATTCTAATAAGCATCAATGTGATTTAATACAGCAAGTCATATTCATTTTTACAGAACAATCTAAGACTCCTGGAATCTGTTAAAGAGTAGTGAAAACGATTTAATATAGAAAAATACATTAAGTACCATAATTAGCATATCCCCACCAGCAAACAAAAACATAAAACAAGTCTTTAGCTTTATCATTTAGAGGGAGACGCTTAATCTTTGATTGCAAGAATCTCAAACATGTTCAAAAATGTACCCATGTGAGAGTTTAGAGGTAGACCACAAGGCTTGAATAAACTCAACTCCAAAGAATTCAAAAGGAAAAAACCTGGAAGACCTGTTCAATAATAATGTTTGTACATGAAAATCAGCTGTTTACATATATTATTTAGAAAGAACTTCATGATTGTTAATTTTGTCTCTGTATATATTATTTAAAAAACAATACACATAAAGATGATTTTCCCCTATCCAAGAGACAGATAACATATTTTGGATGCATATCATCTACAGTTCCTGTGACATTTATTGCACTGCCATATTACTCTCTCTCTCTCTCACACAAAAGAAGCTATATGCCGGCCAACAAAATGGCTTAAAAATTCCTGTTTTAAATGTTGTGAACCTGTTTCTGCAGACGATGTTTTTTAAAGAGTGCCAGCCCCTCAGGTGATACTATTCAATCATTCTTGTGCAATGCGTGACATGCGGATTTTCCAGTCATGGGTGTGTTCATAAGGGTGTGTTTGCGAATACAGCCTGACAGCCTGGCAATTACAATGGAAAAACATACTCCAGTTTGAAAAGAGCAGAAAGAAAGTCAAATGGTTAAATGAATTGAATTAAGAAATAAATTCAGCCTTGAATTTAAAAGACAAATGTCAATTCTGTGAGACTGTGAGAAACTAATAAGACAAGGTTTTTTGTGCGAGGACATTTGGCATATTCAAACAGATAGTCAAATGCTCTGCTGCACTTCCTCTCTAACCAGTGTTGACTGTCGAGCTGGTGTGTTCACTGTGCAAAACAGCAATTTGACACTGGGCACACTCCACACTCAGTTTACAGCATCTATTCAAACTATCTAAAGGTAACTTTATGAACACACCCAATAATTACACACTTGCACCAAGACAGACACAAAGAAAATGCAGTGGCATCCAAGCTGATTACACAAGATCCATTAAGATATTAAATCCTTGACTTTTAAAAAATATATATTTTAGCATGACTGCATTACAAGATCAACATTGCTTTTCCTGTTGGAAAATAATAGTTTGATTCCATTGTGCTGGTTCAATGTGTCCCAGAAAAATATCATATTTCAAACAGGGAATTTGACTGTGTCCTGGTTTGTTGCTGTTTTGCTTCTGTTGCTGTTGTTCATCCTCTCGCAGCCTCGGAGTCTCCCTGGAAGGCCCTGTTGTCATAGCGATGCTGATGTCTCTCTGGGTCAGGGCTCGCTGGGTCAGTCAGTGGGACTTCGTACAATGGTTCTCCTCCTGTCACTGTGATCACAGTGACATCTGGTGGTGATTCATTAGAAATGTCCTCTTTTGTCTCCTCCTCAACCCCCAGGGCCTTCAGGATGTCGCACTTGCACATGGGGCAGGTCCTCCTCTCCAGCAGCCAGGGCTCGATGCAGGCTTTATGGAAGATGTGGTCACATGTTAGCACTGTTACCACTTCGCCTGCCTTGTATGATTCAATACACACGGCACACATATGGGACTCAGAAGTAGTTTCCTCATCCTCTCTCTTGAGTGTGCGTACTTGTAGACGCCTAATGGCCTTCTTAGCCTCAGATTTCAGCTTCCTCTCGGTGCGCTTGTGCATGTTTAGATTGTACAGACGATTTGCAGAGATAAACACAAAGTAGGTGATCGAGGCAGCTGTGACAATGAAGAAGGCGATGGACAGGAAGTAAAGCCAGTATGTGTCCATCCAGGGTCCATGAGGGCTGCCTACATCAATAAGCATCTGAACCTCTGTCCCATTCTTCACCAACTTGACAACCTCCATGCCCTGAGTGTTGCCAATCATGATAGCCACAATATCATCTGCATCTGGGTGCGACATGTGAGTGGTGCTGTTGCCACTGCCATCCATGTTGTACACCACCACACCAGCTGCTCCTTGACGTTTGGCAGCATTGATCTTCTCACTGAAGGTACAGTTGCCCCTTTTAACCAGAGCTATCCAGGCAGGTGAGCTGGAATTGCGATTGTAGACAGGATCTGAGCCACAGCCTTTGGGGTCTCCTTTGGGAAGCGCAACAATGCCAGAGGCTTTCTCCAGGGGAGAGTTACGACCATACACGCCACACTCACAGTATTTGTCCTCAGTCTTATTGTTGCTGTTAACATAGCTTATTTCCACCACGGCTGTCCAAAACACGAAGGCAGCTGAATAGTGAACAAGCCCTGACAAACACAGCAAAAGCAGCAGACCGTGTTGTGTCTTCTTACCCATGGTAACTTCCTTCTCAAAACAACAGGAAGCCCTCTGTTAGCTTCTTTAGCTTCAGTAAAACTTCTTTGTTAGTCCCAGTTCCTGGTGTGTTCGAGCCACAGCGATCTGAATACAGCTGCTGTTTCACCCAACCTGCTGTCTGCCGTAATCCGATATGAGTCTTTGGTAACACAACACCAGCTATGCGTCAGCCACTCACCTCTCGTTATCTTCCTGAACCTTGAACACTCCTTGCAGAGGGCAGGGTGCTAGCATTCAACAAGTTGAAGTACACAAAACACAGAGACCTGTGCTGTTTTAAGAGCCAAGGAACAGCATAAGTGAAGGTAAGACGCGATAATAAAATGATAAGGATAGTTTCACGGACAGAGGTCAGGAACACAAAGTGATCTTGTGAAACTAATAAAGGTGCTGACTTTTTCTTGTGTAATGATGAGTAGACAAATCAACCAGTTTTTCTAGTTTGGCTCATTTCCTTCCCCTATTTATGTGACTGACATCACTGTTGCTGCTGAAAAGCAAACTGACAAGTTTTACTCCTCTTCCTTGTAGCTACTCACCTTAAAAACACACATGCTGTCTGCTTCTACCACACATTTTAACAAAAATACACAGACATGTTATAACTGTGTCCTTTAAATGACACAGGATTCACACATAATCATATCATAAAGATTTCCCCTTGTGTTTGGAAGGGGTACTTTAAGAGTTTTATTCCACACAGCTAGCATACCAGTGACAACTGAGATGGAACAAGGCATTGTCAAGTTTCCATTGTATCTTCTTTCACACAAGTGAAAGCACACACACACACACACACACACACACACACACACAGGTTTCAGATGACAAATGAGATGGAGAGCTTTCTTGGCAAGCTGCTATTTTACCTTAGTTCTCCAACTAAGCACACACGCATACACACACACATACACACACTGCAATACACAGGCAATACACAGGCCTCTGCAGACTGTGCTATTAAATCATTTATCTCAGTGGGACAAAAATCTGTAAATAAAAAAAGGGCCAGGTATTTATTCTTAAGACGGCTGCAGCTCACAGTCCTTGATAACAAGAACAATAGAGCTGCTATGACCCTTAAATTCCTGAAACTCAAATAGTTACTTAGACACAGCAGAAGATAAAGTACAATGTGAAACATCTGAACTATATATTAACTAATAACTAATTTTTTTACTCTCCATTTAAAAAAAAAAAAAACATTCTAACATATTGTAGTGTGAATTTCACAATCACATTTTTAAGATATCCTCAAAGACTTCCTGCTGCAATACTGGCATCTACTGGCTGGATAAAGGTCTGGTCAGAGACAATAACAAACATATGCATGAAGTGAGTCACTCAGACATCCAGACCTAAACACTGTGAGTAATAATAATAGCTGATATAACACCTAATATAAGTGTATGTCATCAATACATATGATTTTATCCAGTATTCCGTAATGTGGGCTAGTCTGGTGATGAAATAACGTCCACATATAAAAATACCATAAAAGAAAACTGAAGTCACATCCTGCAGACCCAGAACATTCACTATTAAATGAATAAATACAGACAATTATATATATTATTATAAATAATCTGATGATTTATAAACTTTCCTCAAAAGCTATGTCCTCCATTTAGTAAAGAAAAGTGGCATTAAAAAGTGCTGTAAAATAAAAAGACAGACTTTAGAAAAGAGATATTTTGAAATAAAATCTGAAATTAAATAATAATGACTAAGCTCTGTTATTGTGAAATTAAGCAGGTTGAATTAATAGGATTTTCATGAATGTGAGCTACATTTAAACATTTATAGAATTATTTCACAATTTTAATTTTAATATTATCTTCTATTTCATAAAATCTAATTTAATATGTAAAATTAAACCACTGAGCTCCAAAAAGTAATCAAACATGACTAACACGTGTTTTTTAAGAAAGCCAACAAACTGGATATAATTATACCACACAGGGGCGCCATTTACTCACTACAAAAAACACAACCACTGTTTTGACACTAAATCATCAGTCACAACAAGGGAAGCATGTGCAGCCTAATGTATCTGATGTGCTGGGCCAACTATGTAATCAAAGTGACTTTATAGGAATTAACTGTCAAGCTTCAAAGAATCGTGTTCAGTTCATTGTTTTGCCCTCATATAACCTGCTACATGGTTCATTCAGCACATGCAAACTTCAGTTCAGTGCAGCGCGACTGCAACATAAATTAAACTCACCACTTTTCCTGCCTGTCTGTCCCTGCAGTGAAGATCCATCAGTCGGTTTAACGTCTCCTGAACGCGAGCTGTCTGCCAGTGCGCACAGGTTTCCTGCTCTGTGGATTTTGGGGCAACTTGGGGCATGTCCAAGCAAGCCCGACACCCCGTCACTCACACAGACACACACACGCACACACGCACACACACACACACCCCTTTTTAATCATCCAGGTCTACTTGTTACTTGTCTAATAAGAGTAACAGTAATAGGAGGTTGTTGCTTATCGTTTGATACACACATTGTAAATAAAGTTACATTTATATTGTTATACAGTAGATGATATTATATCCATTTAAATCAAGATGTAGGCCATCTGTCTGTATTGTCATAGCTTGGAAACTGCAGATGAAATCCAGTAAGTGGACCTTTTAATAGACCTTGTTCACAGCAGCCATTTTGACA